CAGAAACATTAATCGCCCCTGTAACTCGAAAGTTTAATTCGTAATCTTGTGAGGTTGGTCGTAGCCAACGAGGAAAGGCTGAAGGGACTAAAGGGCGTTAGCGATTCGTGCGCAAGCCTCGTTCTCGTGAATCATCTAAACAGAATAGAATGCGATATAGTTGAAGTCGACGGGTACGATTCGAGCAAGCTAGCGAACAGCTTGCTCAACGCTAATGCTCGTACCATTTTGCATACCTATTTCAAATAGTTTATTTCGTTGGCATAGAAAGAAAATGAAGAAGAGAGCATGGCACGTTAATCGATCCCGATTGCTTCAGCGTTGATCAATCAGCTCCTTCGGCAAGTCTCAATCGTCGTTGGTCGAGCGTCGTAATCGACCCAAAGGCCACTAGAGCAAGTCGTTCGACTGTTTTAAGTACGACTGATCAACTACGGCGATATCACGACCAACAAAAAGTTAACTCGCCGGAACATAATCTTATTCAACTTGATAACAATAGTTGTTGCTATCGGCGAAGCTCAGAAATCAAAAAAGCCCAAAAGACAAAGTAGTGCTCGGCCGCATCAACCCGAATATCGGCGTACAATGAGTGAAAACCAGCACGGATTTTGCATGCTGACGTTCCGACCGTACACGTATAACTAGTCGATTAGGAGAACTCCATCTTGTAACAGCATCTCAAGTTTTAATATAAATGTGCTTAATTAAGAAAAATGTTCGCCATGCTGATTCTGTTCGATCTAATGGTTTTATGGGAGAATCATTATCTTATTGTTTTCTTCTTTGTACCTGTGTCATCCTGTATTAATAATATATGTATATAATATCATTTAGACAATAACAGATGCAAAGTAGATCTTTGCGTTTGATGCATCGTACGAATCTCTTTAATTAAATAATGAACTCAATAAATAGAATACGGTTCACCGCGTTACTCGCTTTTCGTCTATCGCTCCCACGAAGATCCGTGAAGATTAACTTTATGGGTAGACACAAACTTCGTGGCTGTGATTGAAAAGATGGTCATTGCGCCATCGCAAATTCGCGTGGGGTAACGCCATTACACAAGACGGAAATCTCTTCGTTGAACGAATACGAAGAAATCCGAAGACGGAGGAATGACAAAGACAAAAAGAATTATACAGAAGACAAAGAGCTCGCTGACTGAGTGACTGACTGATGTGACAGAGAGACCGGATTAACTTTTTTCCCACTTTGTAAGTGGGGCTTGAGCGAGAATGAACGATTGGCAACACGCACTTTTTTGATAGATCTTCTTGGCGTCTTTTACCTTGAAATTTTTTTTAGTGTTTTTTTTACGTGCGTCAATCAAAAACAGCTACGTCAAGCAACGCAGAGGTATTTAGAAAAATCAACCCCGATGCAGTCAATTAAAGCTGTTTGCAAGCGGTCGAAAAGCGGACAAATACATTTTCATGGTCTTCTTCCTCTGGCCACTCCATTACCTTTTTCCACCTTGCGCTAATTTGTCTGACACACAACACGATCTTGTAGTTAGTTGCTTTCTACAAAAAAAAAGGTATCTTTTGTCACCACCCGGTTCGTGTTCGAATTTCCACACATGTACACGCGGACGGAAACCCCTCTATCTAATGGGGCACTAGCTCTCTTCACGTCAGTTCATCAAGCTGAAGAGAAAAAATTTCATGACGATATATCCATGTTGGCTAGCATATGCTATTCGTTTAATCAAAACAGTGCCGAAGACAACAGCGCTCGACGACGCTGGACGAAATGCTGCGTGGGTATTGCCCACCTACACAGATGTTGAAGGCACTACGCAACGCTGTTACGGTACGTTAGCCTCTTCTGGCATGTGACGTATGCGTGTTTATGGGTAAGCTATTACGAAGATCTACTGTCATATTTTTTCATCGATTTAGTTTAGCACCTACCACATAGCTGCCGACAGCAGGAAGGCGGACGGCAGTCGACAAGCCCCTCGCTTGTCTACGCCGACAACCAGCCCTGTTGTGGCGTGTCTTTTCATTCAGAGATTCTCTCTGCTTCACTGTTATCCTCTCAACAGAGAAACTGTAGGGCGCTTATGCGTCGAAGCGACCGAGCCGACGGCTGTGTGCGTATGAGATGTGATACAGCAAGTATCGATCGTATCGTCGCATAGCAACGTAGACCCGTCAATTGCGATCGTCAACCATCGATCGCCACTTTACCCGACGTGTTTGGCTGTAAGCTGTCAATCCTTTTTCGACGTAAGTGGATGAGTGACGATGATGAGAACGACGACGATAGCTAGCGTTTCCTCAACCGGTTCCGCGTACTGATTGAATTCTGAATGAAACCAGAACATGACTGCAGTGGTCAACAACGTGGGGCCGCCGCAGCATCAACAGGAGAGCTACTCTGAAATATGGATGGACTCCTCTTGGTGCTGCTGTTGCTGTATCAATAAGATCAACCTACAGCGGTCACCCGTACCATGTCCTATTCTACCGAGCGTGCCAGCCGTCATCCTCTTGACGGGAGACGGAGTCCCTTTGGCACATGACCTCTTTCTTGACTCAATAATTGTGTGTGTACCACGCTACCGCTGTATGGGACGGCGGCACTGTTTCAGACGCGAGACGATTACGTACCGAAAGGCATCGTAAAATCACCGCGGGTTATACGAGCAAAACTCAAAGGATTCAATTGGCCACCTGTTCTCGTGTTGGACAAATGTTAAAATTGATGCATAATATATTCGTCGTTCGTAGCTTGTAGCCATACGATTACTGCTATGGCTAGTAGAGTTAGAGTCGTTGGTAATCGACGGCTGTAGAGCCCTTTCGGGCTAGACATCTCGGTGCGCTCTAGTTCGCTCCAGCCACCGACCCCCCAAATCCAATAAATCACTTGTCATCGCGTCTACATGTTGCTATTGTTGTTGTAGTAGACTAGCGTCAACGTCGATCTGCTGACGACCAATTTGACTGTCAAGTCAAGTATCGAGGCTTATCAAACTATGGCTGTATCCCTTACTGTGCTTTCTGTCTCTCCTGTGCGGTCTGATAGTTAAATCCGAACGATTCCTTGTTTCGTGGTAGAAAAGAAAAACAATCTAACTTAGCGGCCACGGGTCCAAATCAGTCTCACTCGGGAGCGGCAGTAAATTTCGTGCTAAGTGCGTCTGTTCTCCTGTAAAGTTGACTCACGCTTAGAGTGATCAGACGATAAAACTGTGGGGGTGTATATAACGGGGTCAGGCTGTCGACACAACAATGACCTGAGCAGTCTACAAAATTTGCCCGGAACTCTAATACACTATTGGGAGCAACGCAGTTGCATCGCACTCTCGAAACAAGCGCTGCTAAAAAAATAATGGCAAGAACTAGCCAATACGCAGCGTTCGACATGTTGACTATCGTTGGCCTCGAAGATGGCACTGTACATCTGTCTGATGAAAATGTTCTTTTACAAGTTCTATAATAGGCGCCACTAAAGGACCGACGGGCGACTCTTATAGGTGTTCCTCAACCAAAAGTCATCAATAGCCATGTTGTCCTTCTATCGAAAGCAGCACACATCCCTTTCTCGTTAGTTAGAGAGAGGGAGGGAGGTTAAAAAAAACAAAAAAAAAAAAGGCCTATATCATTTACCGATAGTGACCTGGTCTGCCGGTGACGCGTGTCTGACGATCTACTGAATATGCAAAAAACAAAAACGAGAGTAGAAGGACATCACAGCAAGAGAGTGTGCATCGAGTGAATTCTCAGTGACATCCGACGCAACTCGGAAGATCGCCAACGTTCGTGCCTCCATCTTAGTAGGTGAAAAGACGATTATCTCATTTGATAGTTAATTTGCCGAAGGAAACGCTTTGAAGCAAACAAACACGATGCGGCAAATACGCAGACAGAAAGAAGGTGGTAGAGACTGGACGATGACGAACATGGCGTAGACGACGGTTGATTTGTGACAGCAGTAGCAACGGCAAAAGCCACTAAAGCATCATCGATGACGGTAATTGAAGACACAGTGTTGTAATAGCAGAAATTACATAATAACAGCTACAATTCACTACGCCAAAAGTAACGGTGCCGATCGAAAAGCAGTGACAGCCATAGGGGGAAATCTTGGGTTATCCCACAAACGACGAGTCTAAACAACAGAAATAGCAAAGATAACAACAACTCGGCGACCCGGCAGGCAGCAAACGAAGAAAAGATTCTAAAGAGATCGACGACAATAACATGATGACACATTTGGACAGCGTTATATTTATCCTCCTGCGACGCGCGAGGTAACTCTGACGTGGTAGCAGATTTGGCGATGTAAATGGGAAAAGATCGAAAAAAAAAAAAAGAGATAATTTCTTCCAAGGTGGATTTGTCGAACTTATTCAGCAGTTAGTTGACGTTGGCTCGTGTGGTTTCGGATCGGTCCGAAACTTGAACTTTTCGTGTCGTATGTCAACGAAATAGTGCAAGGTTAAAGCGTATGATTCACAGGGTAGTGGCTTTCCGCGCAACCATATACTGTTGACGTTACTTACTCGTCCCAATTCGATCCGTCCAGCTGAGGTGGAACTCGATGACATCGAATGGTCACTACCAGTAACGCAATATGCGTGGAACAAGTAGTATATAGGAGCTAACAGCTTGAACTAAATGATGTGTATCGGAAGTCAGGGTTTGTGATTTTTAGGAGAACGGTGAATGACAGACGATCAATGATAATTAAACTGACCATAATAAACCTATACAAAAATTATCATTGGTCTCTTTTTTTTTTCCGATTAACAAGCTACCAAAACGGTGGAGGTATGAGTTAAGTAACTAGCCTCATTATTTAGATCAGGATATTGAGTATCTGAGTTAGAAACTTTGTCTTACTTTTCGTGCTAGCATAATGGTATGCATATAATAATAATCATAATAACAATGTAGTTTCGCCTTGTCATTGGAGGTTGTGGGTGTTTTTTTTTTATTTTTTTGAAAATCTAATTCCCCTATCGTTTTGCTTCATGTTTGCAGAGCCCGTATGATCTATCGGTGCGGTGTTTGACTCGAGTCGGGACGGAAGTTGAGGCTGTAGTTGAAGAGGTGCCCGAGGACGGTCTTGAAGTCGGGTCTTCGATGAGGATGATCTCGGACAGCGAGCCGACGACCGAGGTCGATTCTCTGGGGGACGAGGCGCATTCACCCGCCGGTTCGGGTGATACCATTACCACCACAACACACTCTGACCAGGAGACGAATACCACAACGACTCCTAAGCCCTCGGCAGCATCCTTAAACGCTGTGAGCAGTAATATAGTGGACGTGCAATTTTGTTCTTACGAGTAATTTCACTACTGCATCTAATGCGAGCACACGCACTATTATAACAAATAATAATCGATAAAAAAGGACTTGCCTTGTTATGTAGTCTATCTTGGAAGACTGGACATATTCGTTATAATTTAATAATTAATATAGTGTTGTCCTAAATTTCCTCTGTCGTTCTACCGGTTTCTAGTAAACGGCACCGAGCAGTCGGAGAAGAAGCTTGCTTATTCTACGTTAGTGCAAAAAAACGGGGCCGACTGTACTATATGTCTACTCATTGACCCTCTACTTTTTATCGGTTTCATTTTAGCTGGCCACTCACCCCGGCTTTAATAGTCTGTCCGCGTTGGCTATGGCCAACTTTTATCCTGACCCAGAGCAAATCAGTCTCGCTCTCAAAAACGCAGAATATCAAGGAACCGAAGGCCTAATGCGACTAGGTACATTTGACGCTCGAAGAGGCGTTACGGGTCGCACTTCCCCTAACGAATCCTGTGTCGTCTGCGGCGACCGTGCGTCAGGCAGACACTATGGCGCCATCAGTTGTGAGGGCTGCAAGGGTTTTTTCAAGCGCAGCATCCGAAAACAGCTCGGTTATGCGTGTCGAGGGGACCGTAACTGTGAAGTGACAAAACACCACCGAAATCGCTGTCAATACTGCCGATTGCAGAAATGTTTACAGATGGGGATGCGAGCTGATGGTGAGAATGATATTTATCTATTGATAGCTAGAACCTAAAACCTACATATGTATGACTTCGTCACCACAGAAAAATCAGTTTCGAGAGCAACGAAGGTTATTGAATTTAGTAGTGTACGTTCCCATATGTGTATTTGTATAGCTGCATGCTAAGAACGAACTATTGTGCTTTCGATGGTATTACAGCCGTGCAGTCAGAACGGAAACCGGCATCGGTTGGTTCGTCTTCAATCGAAAATAACTCCCGATTCGAGAAAGCTACAGCAGCAGCTACCCCTACCGGCGGAACTCTCACACCGGGAGCCACTCCCACTCTTAACTTGTTCCCGTCCCTTGCAGCGCAACGAGCCGCGCTGGCCGCCGGCCTTCATTCACTTGCTAATGATAAAGATCTTCATAGCGCTCTCAGTAAGTTACACATCTAAACCCCCTGCTTCGGCCACTATTTCCCTTTGTCGCGCTTTCATTTCGCTTAATGTGGCTGTCAGTCTCCCAGACATCGTTGTCATTTTGCAAAGCGGCCACATATATATATATATATATATATATAGTCTTTTTCTTTCCGTATATTTATAAGCACGTTTTGTTGCAATTGTAAACACAGAAACCCCGCCGCTAAATGACCTAACGACCCTCGCAAGTGTCGTGACCACGTGGGCGAACATGCAGAAAGCTCAAGGAGATGGAAAAGTTCAGGATAACGCTTTGTCAAAGGTGGTAGAGACACTTCAAAACGCACAGAGAACGGTTAGTATGTGGCCTCGCAATAACTAGTCAAATCTTTTCAAATTAGCTGACTTTACTCTTCTGAACCAATATATTTTAGGCCAATCACTCGATACAATTAACAACAATAACAATAATGACAATAAAGCAATAAAAACGAATAAATCTTGTCTAAACATACGAATATAGGCGTATCATCTTGGTACTATGTAGTGTGTGTTTGTCAAATTGTTTTCGTAGTCCCCTCCGGTTAAGGTCGAGCCTACAATAATAGCGGCACCATTTCGAAGCGAATTAGTTCGCGAGGACCAGCTTGAGTTTCGGTTAGCGCCACCAGCTGGTTCACTTAATAACAACGGACCTTTACCGTTACTGACGGCCTCTGGAGACCTTAACGAAACGTTCGTGTGCGAATCCGCCTCAAGATTGCTCTTTCTATCGATTCATTGGGCCAAAGGACTTGAGCCATTCCAACAACTACAGTGAGTTTATACTATACGCTTTATCACAGAATGACGATGATGGTAACATCCCTACACGAAAACAAGGGAACGGCCGAAATTCAGCCTGCGGTATAACCATACACTAAAGAATTTCCAATTTGATTGAATTGACAAGGTAGTTTCACACGGCTTCATTGTGTCGTCCTACATGTTCTCACGTGATATGACTTAAAGTGATGATGGACAATGACTGATTAAACCTTCTTCGTAGCAATGAAAGCACCCCTTAATCAATCGTCATATACTTATTTACCTACTCTTACTTCTTCGAAACAGCGCAGAGTGTTGCCGTGTGATCTACCTGAAAGGTAGAACTCATCTATGGGCATATGTTTATTATTGCAGTGTTAGCGTCGTCGACGAGTTGACGCATAACGTATGGGTTATTAACAGTTGTAGAACAACAGTTCCTACCTACAGTTCCGAACTGATGTAGCAAGAATTGATAACAATAGCGATCAACAGGCAATATTCTCTACGTTTCCGCAATCCTATATTCCTTAAATCCTTGTCCCTTGGCAAACATCACTAATTTTTTTTTGGGCTTCTTGTTTAGCAGTGAGATTCAGACAGTCCTTATTCGCAACTGCTGGGCAGAGTTGTTCTGTCTTGGATTGGCACAGTGCTCGAAACAAATGTCGGTAACGGCGATTTTAAAGGCCCATGGCCGACAGCTGCAGCGGCGTCCGCACGAGGATGCCCTCCGTAATCGACAGGTTGAAAGTCATTTGCAAAGACTGCGCACCTTCGTCGACACAGTGTGTGCGCTAGGTTTGTCCGACCTTGACATGGCGCTACTGAAGGCAATCGTGTTATTCAGCCCTGACTGGCTAGTGTCCACCTCCAGCGACTCAAAATGGAGAAGTCAGGTCGAAAGCTTTCAAGTGAAGGCCGTCAACGAACTAAAAAGGTATCATTCCTAGTTGGTATTCGGTGGGGCATTATTTTAGCCAAATTGTTTAGTACACGACTATTTGCCAGCAACTAAAAGTATGACAGTATGAGTATAAATCTATTCAATCTAATTTGTGCTGCGTACGCAAAAATATAATACAGTGCCAATTGCCTAATCTGTCACGGTCAAACTTTTCAGGTCCAGCGCAAGTGAGGAGCGTGTGAATCGACTTCTCCTTAAGTTACCACTACTTCGATCGCTCGATGCGGAGTTGACTGAAGAATTATTTTTTGCGGGGCTAATCGGCAAGGTGCAGATCGACTCCATTATCCCTTATATCCTTAAGATGGACTCCCCTGACCATCTGGGCGTCGCTTATTAAGGGCGCTACTGCAACTTCGACCCATATTTCATAATGACGAGGGATCTATGATCATATCTAAATATGCGCCACTGCGACGAGAGGAGCGTCGTGTTCTACATCTTGTGGTCATCTTCAAGCAACGGAAACGGGCCAACCATTTAGATTCGCTCTTTTGCCGTCGTGCAAAAGCCATCTTTGAAATCTGTGCATCAGGCTAAGCTACCGTGCTGGCTCACAGCTATGGAACGGAACAAATAATATAGTGTGACTCACATAAATGAGAATAGCACATAAAGGTCTATGATACTGCGTCCTTTAAAGGAATAATACCTTCTAGCTCTGCTATGTAAAATATGGCTCATGTTTTGTCCAGCATAGCAGTATATCGTTAAGTACCTCATTTTCGAACGAAAAACATGGCCAATTTTTGCTGATATTAAACATCACCCCTCATTCCTCTGCTTGTTGGCATCGTTGCCAATATGAATGGCGGTCCAACTTGCTTGACATCATCGTCCGTCCAATTTTGTGATACTGTGACATATACACTCAACACATATATGCGTACACATACACATACATACATACCTACCCCGACAGGCAGACAGAAGCAAATGAGCGAATGTACTTCGATCGACCTTTCATAATGAAGAATAGTGTATTTTTTTGTTCTTCTTAGAGGAAACATAGACCATATTGCACTGTCTAGGTGCCTTTGACGGCGAGCCAAAGTCGAAACAAACTGGCTGAAGCGCGGCCATAAAGCAAACAGAAAACTAGACGTTGGATGAGATGTATTGCAGAAAAACAAAAAACCTTAATGCAGTAAATTCAGTTTTACCATAATTCAACCATATCTTATTGCACTTATAGGCTCTCATTCCGCTGTCAGTTTTCTTAAATTCCTGACTTGACTCGCTCGTCACCACTCATCTAAAGTATGAAGTATCATATAAGTTGGCGTAGATTGATTTTTGGTCACTAAGTTCAAATGTGTATTGTCCGAGATAACCATCATCTTAAGCCTATATTTATTATTCGTTACGAGATATATATATATATATATGATGATCGTGGAAAGGCGGATTTGTATATAACTGGTAGCTAACGAGACACGAACGTCGCACCCTCATACGATACACACAGACACACGTAACATAGCAGTAGAAATTTTCAGTGTCCAACTGTAGCGTCCGTGAACTTCGCTGTATAAAGTGAGACAAATTCCAATTTTGAAGCCTTTTATTGCCCTTGTCTAGTTAGGACGCCCTTGTCTATAGGACAGTTCATATGTTTCGTCAGGACAATATTACAACTTGTTACTCTATAGTCCGTAGAAAGACTAGTACTTTACCAATATTTTAAAATATTATTGCCTAGCGGTAGTATGAAAAAAATTTCCTTACACACACACACACACACACACACATATATATAGAATAAAGTAGTTAATATTTATACTAAGTATTTTCGTATATATATATATATATATATATATATATATAGCAACGATGCAAA